ATAAAAGTTATGGGGAGCTAGACAGGAGATTACAGATGGAACATACAGGCTGCGAGTACAATCATATATTCTTTTTTAATTTTTTTTTAATAGCAAATGATAATAGCAAAATCCATCACCTGCTCCTAAAGAGCAATATTCTTAAGGCATCAATACAGATGCCTTAGGCATCAATACACTTAAACTCAATACAGACATAATGTACAAGAAGAGCAATACAAGATGCCTGCGCAGGTTAACCTTGAAAGACGGCCATGTATGCGTTCATGGTTGCACAGAAAGGTTGCAGAAACAAGTTCTTGTATAATTACAGGAAATTAGTAGCTCTCGTCACAAGGAAAATGGATATGAAACTACCATCTTTTCCTCTGACAATAAACATCCTTCTTTGATTCCACCTAGTTTTTAAACTATCTTAACTTCAAGAGGCTTTTTTTGTTGTAAAGCAGTAAGGTCAGCCATTCCCAAATGAAATTTTATATTAATGACCAGACTTACACATACACACATACAAAAACAACAACAAAAATAAACTAACACATTTTCACCTTTGTTTTACAATATTAAAGCGTTAATTTGTATTTACGGGAAGACTGTTATGCTGATGTATGTCCATCAGAACATACAGCTGATGAGCTGTATGTCCAATGTTTTTGTTTAATTTTAACCAACTTATCCAAGTAGGCCATTTGGTAGAAATCTATAAATGACACCCCGGGGGTCTGGGCTCTTGCTGTAAAGAGGTCAGCTATTTCCTCCTAACTAAAAATAGTCAAGAGGAGGGAGGGGAGGGAGTTTAATTTAGCAGTTGGGAGAAAAAAAAAAAAAAAAAAAAAAAAGAAGTTTACAGAATTACTTCCATCTTGCCTCATGATGAAGATGATGAAAAAGAATCTGCCCTCGAGAGCTACAAAAGCTAGATCATTTTATAGGCGTGCTGGTGTACATAATTCAAACCCATGCTATGAATTAAGACAATAATAATACAGAGAATGTAGGCTATGCATTATATATTGAAAAGGCAAGGGAAAATCTACTCCCTCTTTGTATAAAACAATCCGAATTATCGGCAGTGGCACCTTCAGGTGTTAACAACCCTATTTCTTCCTACCAAATGAGGTCGCAGCATCATCCAGTAGATACTGCTGCTGTTTCACAGCTCTTTTTCACCTTTTACCTTCCTGTTTGTTTTTTTGTTTGTTTTGTCTCCCCCCTTTACTCAGATTACAGCCTTTTCAGGATAGGAACCATCATCCAGGACATTCTCAAAATGGCCCAATTCGAACAGAGGCCTCTTGGCACTATTAAAATATGAGCAATTCAAAACAGACTACAGCACAACATCTAACACTGAAATTTCAGAGATGTCAATAGAAAATAGTAAGAGTGCTCTGAAGCAGCAACCAAAGCACTATATACCAGAAACTAAAGCCTTGGGACAGGTTCACCAGCCAGATCACCAAGCCAAATGCAGAATACTGCTTAATCCAATCCAAAACATTTCTCACCATTGACTTCTCTGACTTACTGCCTTATGGCTTATCTCGCTTATCTTCTACCAAGAAACACCATCTCATCTACGCTAAAGGGTATGCTTTCCTGGTCTTTCCCAAGCCCGGGGATTCAGGCCTAAGTAACTGCTGCTGCCTGGGGAGTGGCTGCTTAGCAAGTTCCTCGAGGCAGCAAAGACCCTTTCCTGGATGAGGAGGCCAACAGATCTACCTGCACTGCTGTTGCCAGGGCAATGGGAAAAGCCCCTGTGTAAACAAACACCAACACTGAAACCTGAAAAACTGGCAGAACTTACAGTACTCAACACAGACGTGCTGGCCTTCGCCATCCAGGATTTAATACATGTTTGCTCTTTGGATATTCTTGTTGAGCGGATTGGCCACCCACTGAAAGAAGCGCATGTGGTGTAATTCTGAACAGCTATGACAGGCGTTAGACGTGCAAGTTTTCTTACTACATCGAGTGGTAGAGGAGAAGGGGGCAAAGGACACACTCAGGTGACTTCCAGAAGGGTTTGGGTGTGTGTCCGCCTGTCTCCCCTAGGACACTGGAGCAGTTGCTTAGCGGGCACTGTTTACATGTGTGAATTAACCTCTTTGCTTCTGAAACAGACTTTTTAATCTTTGGGGGAGAAGAAACAACGCTGGCTGTTCCTCAGCCCGCTGAAGGAGTTACACTGAGGCAAATACAGTCGCCCTGCTTAGATCTCTGCCAGTTTTACCATTATTGCATGTGGCCCAAGACAAGCTCTAATGCATTTTTCATGTGCTAGCATCCTCCCTTTCTTGCCTTCCTTTTTCCACCCACCCCCTCTGCAAAGCTTCTGTGGAAAAGCTTCCCATTTCTACTATTATTGCCTTTGAGACGCTGCAATGTGCAATTGCTAAAACACACATACACACGGACAGAAAACACCTTAGGACAATTCTGCCCTGTTGCCAACAGTGCCTGTGATAACAGAAAGAACGTATGTATTCCAAAACTTGTGCAGTGCTTCTACATTTGATAACACACTGAGCGTGGGACAGGAGGAGGCCTAAAGCCAGCACGTGCAGTCACATGGCAAGCAAGGTATATTATGTTAAACCTTGCATACGCCACATGCAGAGCTTCAGCTAAAAGATCACTAATAAATGGGTTATGGAAGAAAAATATGACATTGTATTTGTCGCAAGTAAAGGCTCTGTATTTATCGCCCACCATCAGGCCTCCCTCCGGAGCAATGCATTTAGTTTCACACCACCGACCTGACGCACC